TAGTCCCTAAGCTCACCCAAACTCTGGTCAAGGGACCATTAATGTTTCATTTTGACTGATTGCTGCAGGAGAAGAAAACTTCTTTCCACCTCTTAGGACAAATAGACATGGGGCACAAGAGATTCAGATGGGCTCACCTTTCTCCACCAAGAGGAGCGTGACAGAGCAGAACGCAAACTGGGCATTTGATCCTTTCTGACACCAGGGTGAGTACTGTGCTCCCTGTGACACGCCACATCTCCCCAGAGTGTAGAGGCCCCATTCCTTTCTGCACTCTTGTAAGTCTCATCCCAAGGTCTCACAGCCTATTAGTCCCAAAATTGTCTTCCATGTTTCTCTCAGAAGGCTTAGTGATTCCTCGTGTCAACACATTTCTGGTGACCTGCACGATATTCCAGAATTCCTGAGATGATCATAGTTACAACGAACCTTCTTTTAGCATAATTAGGACAAGAAGAGTTTCCTGAATTGAGTGGCTGAGACACCTTGGGCAGGAATCGCTGGGCTGTCACCAGCTAATGAGAAGCCCTTCTTACTTCTTGAGTGGAAGCAGACCCACGCCAGCAAGGTAACCGACCTGCTTTGTGCAGAAACGGGTTAGATTGTACATATGAAGAACTACCCACAAAGAAGGGAGTGACGGGAGGCTGGGAAACTCTTCAAAGCAATCCATGGAGGAAATTCCCAAATCAAAGACGAAGCTTTCCCCTGGGTATTTTCACATTGATGACAGCCAGCTCCTATTGAGTGGTGGCTCTGCCACTCTATCCCATTCCTTACCCCCAGTTCTTATTGTACACCTGGGGGAACCAAGGCTCGGAAAGGCTCTCAGGGCCACACAGCTGGGAGCAGCAATGCCAGGATTCAGAGCCAGACCCCTTTGACTCCAGATCGCACGTTTCCTTCACCAGGTAGGCTGGTTCTAGAGAAGTCAGCAACTGCGGAGCTCCCAAGGTCTGAGGTGGCCTGCAGAGTGTCATCTCACAGGGAGAGTGATGACTCTTTAGGGATGGGCTGTCTCCACAAGAGGGATGAAGAAATGGAGGAGGAAGACCGGCATGAGGCTGGCATCAGGCTGCCCCTCCGGCTCACATGTGTGTGGTGCCCACATTAGCAGATGTGGGCCACCAGGGTGGGTGTCGTGGCTGCTGAAATCTTGTTCTGTTTACAGACCATGGGTCCAGAAGTCTTTGTGCCAGCAACACCCTTGAAGTGCCCTACCTGCCCGGCAGCAGCCCCTGGACAGCCAGGGTCATTGCTTTGGACAACTGTCCATTTTCTGTCTTTAACCTCCATTTAAGAGTGTGGGGTGTCAGACTCAGGCAGATCTGATCTGAAGCCTGGTTCTGCCTCTTCCTGTATAAGAAATTATTAATATTGTATGAGTATTTCAACAGTGTGACTAATATTTGAAATTAGTATTTTTCTAAGTATTTTTCTACAACTTCCAAAAGTAGTGATATTTGTAGTTACTATAAAATCAAGCTTTGGAAGTCCTAAAAAACAAAGACTGCCTTCCTTTCAGAAAAAAAATGCAATTTTCTGGCCACAAGGGCACAATGCAGTTCACTATATATATAGCTTATACTCAGTCTCTTCGTCTCTTCTGCAAAAGGTACTGTGAAGTAAACCAGATTTTCTAAATAGTAGTTCTTAAAATTTCAGATTTATAAAGTTGGTAGCAGAATTTTATTTAAAGGCCTTAGGTATTAATTTCTTTTTAATGAGTGCTTTAACTTAAAACACACATTTGGAATAACTGCTGCAATGTAGTTCTGCACGTGATTTTTTAAGTTGACACATGCAGTATTTAAGTTGACATGTGACTGTATTAGCTGTGTGACCCTGGGCAAGTTACTTAACTTCTCTGGGTCTCTGTTTCTTCACCTGTAGTGTGAGGATCATAGCCCCAGCCTTATATTGTAATAATAAATGGAGTTAATACTTGTAAAGCTGGTAGCAACAGTGTCCGGCAGGACCTGGGTGCTTGTGCAGGTATGCCTCACTTCACCTAGCAATGGAGTTCCAGGATATAGGCCAGTTGGTTGAATTTAGCTCTTAAAAATGCTCAATAGAGGGGCCAGCCTGGTGGCGTAGTGGTTAAGTTTACGCACTCCGCTTTGGCAGCCTGGAGTTCACAGGCCCGGATTCCAGGCGCGGACCTACACACTGCTCAACAAGCCACGCTGTGGCGGCGTTCCACGTACAAAATAGAGGAAGATTGGCACAGATGTTAGCTCAGGGCTAATCTTCTTCACCAAAAAATAAAAAATAAAAAATAATGGTCAATAGAATCCCATGTGTTTTGGGGAAGGTGGGGGGAGGTGAGGCGGTGGTGTCAGAACCTAAAGTTGGCTCCTTTTATAGCTTGGCTTCTGGGTGGGGTTGATGTCTGGATATGGGACCCCAAGGACCCAGGACGGAAGGAAGGCCAGTGCTCTTCCCCCGGCCCCAGGCAAACAGGTAAACAGAGGCAGCAGCCAGAACATTCTCACCCAGAACTAGTAAACAGGGAGCCTACATTCAGACAGGCCCATCTTCTTTACACCAGCATAAATTCTCCCGACACCTGGCACGCCTTGTCCCTCCCCAGGTGAGGCCTGAACTCTCATGCTGACCTTGGCATCACCTCAAGTTCACTCCTGACCTGGTTAGTGTGATGTCAACTTAGTAGCAATTGTGGGTACTTACTATTTTGTATTTTCTTTTCATTATAACATTAGCTCCCCACGGGATTCCAGGGACTGGTGGTCTACATACTTGGCAATTCTCAAGGTCTATAATAGTCTTATCTCTTGTCAATTTTCTGCTGTTTGTTTGATGGTCCTTTTGGGGCATATGGGTCTTCCTAATGTTTTCATCCTGTAAATGATGCTACCATAAACAACTTTGTACAATTTTGTAAAGTATTTTTGCTTATTCATTCATTTTCTAGAAAATATTTAGTGGGTTCCTACCCTGTGCCAGGCACTGTGCCAGCCATGAATCGGACAGTCCCTGCCCTCAAGGAACTTACAGTCGAATGAGGGAGACTGACAAGAAAGTGCAGTGTGGTGGGTGCTGTGGGTGGTCATTGCAGAGGGTAATGGGGTCACGGGGGGCACTAACCAGCCCAGAGCTCACTGCTCTATAGTTCCGAGGATAGATTGCTAGGTTGCTTAGCCAAGTGAATGCTGAGCAAGATTTTCTTTCATTCAATCATTTCAGTGAGTATGCTTTTCATTTCTAAATGATCTGTTTGATTCCTTTTCAAGTGTACCTGTTCTTTTTTCACAATGTCCTTTTCTTTTTTCTAGTACTGTCTATTCTTTATCTTTGGCTTCATTTGAAAACCACATTTTCCCCTTTAAAGTTTCATTCAGAGTCCCCTATCACATCAAGTTCCCCGGAGTATTAATCCTCCTGTTTTGCCCCTTCACTCTCAGGATGGAATGTGTTTTTGAGTGGTTTGTGATTTTTTTATTGTGAAGATACTTTTTCTTCCTCTTGGTGTCCCTGTGAGCCCTGGCGTGTGGAAATATAGCTAGAGGGCAGTTTTACGTTTGCTTCTGCTCAGTTCCCTAGGGGTCTAACTGCTTTAACGGACCCATATTTACTTTCATTTCCTTGCTTAGGGAAATTGTTCAATCACTTTAAAACTATGTAGTGAACATCTACTATATGTATATGGGGAAGTCATATTTGGTGCTGTGGAAGATACAAAATAACACAAGACAACACAATGTAGCTGCCTTACAGAAAACCACAGTCAGAAAGGACCAAATACACACGAAAAGGTAGGGGACCATGGAAGGCAGAGTCAAAGGCCTAATGGTGAACACGCAGTCAGGTTCAGAAGGAAAAACAGCCAGGTGGAGGAAAAAGAGGAAGAAAAGCCCACAGGAGGGGAAGGTTTGTGTGAGGAAGTCTCAGAAGAAAGTGAGGTAAACCCACATGCGCCAAGCTGGAAACCTGACTTCTCCTGTGTGTGGAGTTAGAAGTGGGGCTGTAATATTAGATGAGGCTGCGGATGAACTTGACTTGAAGGACCCTGTTGAGAAAGCTAAATCAGAATCCAGGCAAAAGGAAGTCATTTAAAGTGCTCTTGGGGGTGGGAGGTAAGTTTGATAAAAGTTGTGTTTGAAGGAGAAAACCCAGTAACTTGAAAGGACTAGGAGGCTCTGCCTGATTCAGACCAGAACCTGGGTTAGGGAGGCCAGCAATGGGGAGAGAGAAAGGGAGGGAGGGAGGGAGACCGGCAGGATTTGGATGTGGAAAGTTTATGGAGTATTTGTGGTCAGGAGTGGCGAGGGGGGAGGTGGCTTTTCAGGAGACAAGACAGGAAGGGAGTCAGGAAGGGCAGACTGCAGGAAACCCGGACTAAGTGCTCAGAAGGCAGATGTCTATTCTAGAGCACTTTCTCACAATGAACACAGGATAAGTACAGGCAAAGGGACCAGGTCCCCCATTGCTGTGTCCCTGCAGACTCTAGAATGCTCGCACCTCCACAACTAGCGGGCATTCTAGGTGTTGTTGCAGGGGTGGGCACGTTTACAAACAGGAACAGGGCACTTGCATAGTAAATACTTTGCTCGCAGAGTCGTTGTGAAGATCATACTTGAGTTAACACGTTGCAAAGCACTTTAGAAAGTGTCTGGCACCTAGTGAGTGCGATTTAAGGGCCAGTTATTATTACTCATTTTTATTAACTGAAAATTATCGGCGCCTAGCACATTGCCTGCGTATGCTCACATCGACTGACTGATTAAACCTTCGCGATCTAGTGAGAGAGATAACGCAAGGAGTTTAGGGCACAACACACTCTAACCGTGGGCTCTAAGGGAGGTTCGCGAGGGCTCAACTGCAGGGGAGGGACTACGATCGCCGAGGGGCGACTGCATATGGTCTGGTGAGGAGTGCAGAGGGGTAAGACAGGGAGGCTGGGCACGGCAGATGGGCCCGGCCTGCAGCCTGCAGGGCCCGGGATCTGGGCCGCAAAGGGGCGGGCCCAGAACTGCGGAAAAAATTCCCGAAGCCGCGGAGTGCGCTTGGAAGCGCCGAAGACCATATTGGGGGCGTCTGGCTTCCAGAGGCGCCGAGCCCCGCCCCCGTCGCTCTTTGCGGCTCCCGGGGGAGCGCCCGGGCCTGCGGCGGCCTTCACACCCCCCGAGTCCGCGGCCCGGGCCGCTTGCGACCACTGACCCGCGGCCTGCATCCCAGCCTTGGGCCAGGCCCCAGCCGGGCCAGCGGGCCCCATCCGGCGCGTACCACCCGCCGCTCCACACTCCCGCGCTCCCCCGCAGCCGCGAGTGGTGCGGCCCGGCTCCGCCCCCTGACGCCACGAGGGCGGGGCGCCAGCCCGTCACGTGACGGGGAGTGACCTCGCCGCCCGGCGCCATGGGGGCTTTGGACCCGGAAGTGGCGCCGTGGGCTCGCGGCGGGGCCGCGGGGATGGCGGGAGCCGGAGCAGGAGCGGGAGCTCGCGGCGGAGCGGCGGCGGGGGTCGAGGCCCGGGCTCGCGATCCGCCGCCCGCGCACCGCGTACATCCGCGCCACCCTCGGCCTGCGGCGCAGCCCTCGGCCCGCAGGATGGACGCCGCGTCCGGGGGCCTGGGCTCCGGGGACAACGCCCCGACCACCGAGGCTCTTTTCGTGGCGCTGGGAGCGGGCGTGACGGCGCTCAGCCACCCGCTTCTCTACGTGAAGCTGCTCATCCAGGTGGGGGGCCAGGGGCGTCCTAGGGAGGTGGGGGCTGATGTGAGGGTGACAGGCCGGGATCTGGAGCAGGATGGGGGCGGGGGAGTTGATGGCGACGAATTTGGGGAGAGGGGCAGGAACGGCAGGTCTGGTGGGCTGAAGGGGTGGGAGAGAGGGAAGCGGTGAGGGGTTTGGGGATGCAGGGAGGATGGGTTTGGGGGTACAGGAGAGGGGGCGAGGGGGTTGGAGCGACAGATTTGGAGAAGGTGGAATGAACAAGGGATTTTGGGGGTGCAGGAGAGGGGGCAATGGGATGCAGAGACAGGTTTGGGCATGAAAGAATGGAGGCGATGGACTTGGAATAGGAAGGAAGGAGCAGTATTTTGGGGTGAGGGAAGAAGCAACAGAATTGGAGGAGAGGCGAGAAGTTTGGGTGAATGGGTGGCGAGGAGGTTTGCGGGCCAAGGCCAAGTATTTAGAAGATGAGGAGCACGTATTTAGGGTAAAGGAGAGCAAAAGCTCTGGGTTTGATAGAGGTGGATTTAAAGCGGTTTTGGGGGACAGAAGACTGGGGGCTAGGGCCAAAAATCTAGGAGAGAAGAAAGGGCATCAGACTCCCAGGGAGGGGGGACGGGATGGGGGGCATTGGGTTTAATGGTGATGGAATTTGGTGAGAAAAGGCGAAAGCAAAGGATTTAACAGTGGAGAGCTGTCGGTTTCCAGGAGATGGGGGCTCTGGATTTGATGGCGACGACAGATTTGGTGGGAGGAGGGGATAGTGTGACGCGTTTGGGGGGAGGGGAACAGATAGGGCGACGCAATGGGGGAGGGGAGTGGTGGCGATTTGTCTTGAGAGGGGAGCAAGGAAGAGCTTTTAGGGGGAAAGGGATGACGCATTTGGAGGAGAAAATAGAAGTGACAGTTGGGGTCGGGAGATGGGAATCATCGCAGTCCTTGTATCTGGAGGGTTGGGCTGAAGGGATATGGGAGTATAGGAATTGGGCAGAGGGGCGGTTGGAACACAAGGTGACAGGATAGGCAGGGGCTGGCAGAAACTGGAACCAAGGTAGGAATATCTCCGGAATCAAAGGATGCATATTTCATGGTGACCAGCAGTGCCTTACAGATGAAGTGCGCTGCTTGAGAAAAGGAGAGATTGAACTGGAAGGGATGCATGATGGAGGGACTGCATCTGGCAGAATTAGGTGGGTGTGACTGAGATGGGCCCTGTTTAGATGGGGTTGGTTCAGCCTGGACTGATATCTGAAGATTTAGCCTAGAATTTTCCAGTTAGGAAGAGTAGGGGGTAGGGGTAAAAATTGAGATGGAAACCTCAACCAAGGTTTGAGATTTGATTTGAGTTGAGGCTAATGGGTGTCAGATTTACTGTCTTTATAATTGGACTGAGAGAGTGGGAGATGCAACTGGAATGAGAGGGACTTAAATGAGAGTGATTGAAATCTGGGATCTGAGGAATGGGACAGTAGATTTGTGTGTGTGACCAGGAATATGAGAAGGAATGAGGAGATTCAGTCAGGGACATCAGGGTGCCTGACTGGTATCTAATGGTGACCGAGATTTGGAAATGGCTGATTAGGGAAGGTGGAGACTGGCTTTTGGCTGTGATTTGGGAGTGAGAGCTGCTTTACTTACAGAATTAGGATTGTATTTACAGCAGTAGAGATTACAGATTTGGGCAAGAAATTGGGGCTTTGGAACTGGTGGTACCCAATATGAGAAGTAGGGATACTAGGACCTGAGTTTTTTGGCTGATGGAGTGAGAGTAGATGAGGGCTGGGACTTTAGGGTGGCCGATAGGAGGGGCTGTGGAGTGGAGGATGCTGGAGTATAGGGAATTCGGGGCTGCATGTGAAGGAAACGGGAAGTAGCTTCATCATTTGGACCATGGTGGATTTGGTTTACAAGTTTGGAAAGAAAATTGAAATAAAGGTGACTTGGAAAGGGCATTGAGGGGCCGGCCCCGTGGCCCGTGGCTAGCGGTTAAGTGCGCGTACTCCACTGCTGGCGGCCCGAGTTCGGGTCCCGGGCGCGCACCGATGCACCGCTTGTCAGGCCATGCTGTGGCGGCATCCCATATAAAGTGGAGGAAGATGGGCACAGATGTTAGCCCAGGGCCAGTCTTCCTCAGCAAAAAGAGGAGGATTGGCATGGATGTTAGCTCAGGGCTGATATTCCCACCAAAAAAAAAAAAAAAAGAAAGGGTATTGAGGCATGAGAGAGCATTGGGAATGAGGAAGAATGGAGAATTGGGGAATGAGGGAATCTAAAGGGTGAGAAGAACTAGATGGTGGTTGGGTTAAAGATAGGTGAGCCCAGCTGGGGGACAGAAGTGGCCTATGTGATTTGAACCCAGCTGGTGCTGAGTGTAACATATTTGAGGGTGAAATCTTAATGGGTATAGCTTGGGAATCAGAGTAACATTTTGCAAAAATGCAGATCCCAATTTGGGGAGGGGTAGCAGGATTGGAGTGGCAGATTTGGGGGTTGCCTAGATTAAGTGAATAAGAATGCAGTGCCTCAGATCAGGGCTTGTGGGTGTTAGGTTTCAGGAGCTAGAGGTTTGAGGGTGCGGGACTGGCTCTGCTAGCTTTGGGTGTGGTTAGCACTGGGGTAACATTTGGGATGAAATTGGGTGAGTATGACTTGGGAACGAGTACTGACAGTTTGAGGGTGAGGGGAACAGGGGTGAGATACAGCCAGTGTGCCTTTGATAACCCCGGGTGGATGTTGAGACAATAGACTCGAAGGGTTTGGGAGCTGTGGAGATACTGGGTGAAGGGACACAGCAGATTTAAGGGGGGAATTGGCGTCAGTGGGACTCCCAAACTTGTTGAGTGGACTGGGTAAGACAGCAGAAGAGCAGTAGGTCAGACTTGGAGTTCAGGTTATAAAGGGAATAGTGCCTGTGTAAGAGAACAAAATCAAAACAAAACTTAACTCCAAACCTTCTAGCTTTTAATCCAGAGGGGGACGTTCTGGAAGGGGAGGGCTAATTGCATGGGTCAACTGGTTCATCCCTTTCCTCCAGCTTCCCAGGAAGGTCCCTTTCACAGAGAGGGTTTCTTAATTTACAATCAGTAATCTGTCATGTAGCTCAGAATCACATCCACAAGGGACAGCCTGAACTTGCAAAAACACTTGACTAAGGCGAAGAAGAAAGGAAATTGAGCCAGGAAAATGCCAGAAGCATACGTAGTCCTGTTTTTAAGGCAGAGCTTCCCAACCCTGCCATTTCTGCTCCCTTCCACATCCAAGAGGAGCTGCTCTGGTCCATGGGCTCGGCTGGCCTGCTTTGAGGAATGGGACTGGTGTCCTGGCCCCCTGCCAAAGAAGGGGCCTTCTCGTACCCCGCTTAGGTGCTGGTCTCCCAGACACCTTGCCTCCTGCCTGGCAGCAGAGAGTCTATCTCCTCCTTAATTGGCAGCGTAACATGGCCTCACCCCTTAGGAGAGACCCCACCTCCCCACAGGGGTATGAGAGGCTTGTCCTTCACCCACCCATGAGTTTAACAGATTCCCTAATTATAACCAGCATCTATACAGCAAGAATTATGATAGCCCTACAGAAATGAGGGGCTCATTCTGTCACAGGGATATGGGCTGATGGAGATTAGAACACAGTTGAGGAATTGTTTGAGCAGCATCTGGGATTCGAGCTCATGGTTTGCTGTGCCTGGGAGCGAGAGGGACAGATTTGTGGGTGTCTGCAGTGGGTGCGGTAAGAAATTGGAGGGTGGGGTGAAGTTTGGAGTGGGTTACTTGGAGCTGGGCTGTCTGAAGTTTGGGACAGAGGTTCAGGTGTGATGTGTTTTGGTGTTGCCACATTTGGGATTGAGACTGGACTGAAGTTGTTAACCTGGAGATGAGCATTAACTGAGATTTATTCTGAGATGAGTGTGGGGTTCGAAGTACATAAAAATGGGGGTTTCTACACTGGAAATATCTGGAATTTGAAGGTAAGAATGTTGGGGGATGGGGTGACTTGGAGTGGTAGAGGTGGTATCTGGGACTAGACATTTCTGTTCATTTATACCATGCTGAGGGTTATAGACACCAATGAAATTTCTGCTATGTTTTGATGGGAAAACATCAACAGGAGCAGCATTAGAATTTGTGGGAGGAGAGTCAGAGCCCTGGGAAAGATGAGAAGCGGTGAGACTGAATCAACAGTAGAATCTGACCTTCCTTTTGTATTTGTTGATTCTGAAGGTGGGTCATGAGCCGATGCCTCCCACCATTGGGACCAATGTGCTGGGGAGGAAGGTCCTCTATCTGCCAAGCTTCTTCACCTACGGTGAGTGTGCTTCCCAGACAGGAAGGCCCACACGGACCAAAAAGAAGCGTCAAATGGGGCAGGCCCAGCTGGCCTTGGGGAACACGCTGGGCAGCATGGCACCCAGAGTCGGAGCTGGCACGGAGGAGGGGATCAAAGAGTGTGGCCAGAGGCAGCAGGGTTTCGGGGCGGGAGCAGGTGAACGATACAGCTTTGGTCCAGCTCCTCTGCCTGCAGCTGCCAGCTGTCAGCCCAGGCAGCAGGAGGGGCAGACGGGTGCCCGAGAGAGGGCAGTCCAAGATGCTGGCCCCTGTCATCCCTGCCGCCCCAGGGTATGCCTGGAAGCGAGGGTGGGGTGGCTTTCCTTTTGCCTTCTGAGCAGTCCTGCCCTGTTAGCAGCTTTTCTGCTTTCCTGCTACTCCAGCAGGAGGCCTGTTGGGGCCTCCTGGGTTCTTTTCCTTCGTCCTCTTTCCCCTGCATTCCCCGGGCAGTGGTGCCTGCTCACTCTGGCGTCGCTGTCCACTGGGTGTAGACCAGTGTGCGGTGAGTTGAGGTTTTGCCTCTGAAGTGCCCTGACCAGCTGCACGGGCTCGGGCAGGCCACTTAGCTGCTCTGGCCCCACATTCCTTGTCTGCAAAGCAACATCAGCTTCTTTGTGCTCAGGCCCTTCACACAGACACCCCCTTCCCCGCCCTCTGCCTGCCGGGAGGTGTCTCCACCAGGAAGCCCGCCACAGTGGAGCTTGCGCGATGCCGGTGAAGCCCACCTGGCTGCCTCTGCTGCTCATCCCCTGGCCCACAGGTGCCAGCTGGCCAAGGCCATCTCAGATCCTCCATCTCTGTCCCTCTCCCAGTCCCCACCCTCACTAGACTTCTTTATGTTCACAGCCAGGCTGATCCTCTCATGCTTCCTCCACCTCTGCTCTTCTTACCTGTTTGGTCAGTCCAGAATGTTCTCTGGAAATCTTTCTTTCTGCTGAATAACTTGGGGCTTTGCCTCCCGTCACCTTTTTTTCACTTCACACACTGTTGGCAGAATCTGACGTCGTGTTTCTCTTCCAGTTTCGCCACTGTGTTGTTGAGTACAGGTGAGGGCCAGGCAGAACACGTCATTTTATGGGGAAATCTGTTCATATTTGCTTTTATTTAAAAGTTGTCAGTGTAGGGGAGGGGGAAATCACAGAATTAGGAAGGCACCCCCACCATAGTACAGTGAAGCTGGTGTACAAAGTTAACCCTGGATTTGTGGGAAGCCGGGGCAGTGGGCTGCCAGCGCCCCCCACTGTGGTTTCTCTGTATATGCTTACGCGTGCTCCAGCCATGTGAGACTCGAGGGTAGGACCCAGACCATCTCTATTCGTGTCACACAGTCATTCCCGAAAGGACTCAGGGTAGAGAGGTCTTGACTCTCATTACCTCTTGCAGAGATGAGCAGAGTTCTGAGGTGCTCCCCCCCACACCCCTTTTTATATAAATGTTGTTTCAGTCCACATATTGTAAGCAGATGCCCGTTGGGCATTTCCAGACACTATACCTGCTCTCGAGTTGGAGAGGGGGCTCAGCTCAGCTGTCTGGCTGTCTAGATACTCTCTGGGCAGCATCTTCTCTTCCCCATGTCATGGTGAAAAGTGCCCCAGCTGTTGTGACAGTCTTGGGCGTAATGGAAGGAATTTCCTGGAGAGTTTTCCAGGGACCACAGAGAAACTGTGGAATGATGGAGTCCTGGCCAGCCTTGGAGCCCTTTGGGCCCACGAAGGCCTCTGTAGGCATTGCTGCACACCTCTCTCTCCTCTCACTTGTTCATAATTCAGCTCTGAGATGACGAGAAGTAGGAGTCCTTACTCCGTATTTACTGGTGGGCAGATCGGGTAGAAAGAGGATAAGTGTCTCACTGGAAGTCACACTCCGGCTTTATCCTGCGAGCGCTCCCTTTTGCTGACTGGAGCACCCCTCCCCCAAAATAAACCTTCCTTCTGCCTGTTCACTCTGTGAAGCAGGGCGCCTCGCCACGTCACCCAGCGTCCTCTCCCCGCCTACTCCTCTCCTTCCAGCCCCACCCCCACCTCAGGAAGCCAGGTATGCAGGTAACAGGTGCTCTGGGGCCCAGCAAGGGCCCGTGCTAGCAGTGACGTTGAATTGCTGGGTTGGCAGACATGTTGCAAAAGAGGAAAAGGGACATTTGCTGGTTCCTGCCACTGTGCGGTACTAGAGAGCTCAAGTCATGGGTCTGAAAAGGGAGCACATTGTCCAAGAGAATGTTCTGCTAGCTTCCAGGTATGCAAGTTTATAAAAATACATCACCTGTTTGAACACGATTAAAAAGTTGATATTAAATAAAACAATAAAACATTATTAAATAAAGTATCCTCTTAGAGACCCTAATGAACAAACACTGACTCACACAGGTGGGGTCTAGCTTCCCTGTCTGCTTAAGTTTTTTCTATAGAATAGTTCATTGGTGCTTCCGTTTTAGTTACTTCTCCACCGGTGTTTCCCCTCCCTGTGATTAATGAATGCCAGCAGGTGCCAGGTGGTGCCCTGGGCACAGCACAGTAAGAGGGTGAGGCTGGCCCTCTTCCTGGCGTGCTCAGGGGACACCCTTGCGTCTCTCTCCTGGGAGCCCTTCCTTTTCCGTTTTTCCTCCCTTAGGTTAGAGACTTCGTCATTGCCATGGGCACTCTGTCTTTTTGCTATTTTTCTTTTCCCCGAGAAAAACATTTTTTATAAGTGACACCGTTGGTTCCTGGGTTGCAGCACTTAAGTTGCTGAGTTGAAAAACTAGTTTATTTTGCCAAGTAGGTTTTTCAAAGCTGAAGAAAAAAAGGAAACATATGAACTTGTTTGTCAAAAATATGTTTTGAAGGTTTTACCAATAAAACACAGGGGCTAGAAAAGACGTTTTGGGAGGGGGCCTGATTGCTTCTGGGGTCCTGGGTGGATGCTCCCTTCTGTGACTGAAGTCAGCACGTACAGACCTTCCTCGACTTACACTGGGGTTACGTCCCACTAAACCCTCATAAGTTGAAAAAATGAGTCGAAAATGTGCCTAGCCTACCAAACATCATAGCTTAGCTTTGTCTACCTGAAACGTGCTCAGAACACTTACATTAGCCTACGATTGGGCAAAATCATCTAACACAAGGCCTATTTTATAATAAAGTGTTAAATATCTCATGTAGTTTTTTGAGTGCTGTACTGAAAGTGAAAACGAGAATCGTTGTCTGGGTGCAGAATGGTTGTAAGTGTACCAGTTGTTCACCCTCGTGACCACGTGACCGACTGGGAGCTGCGGCTCGCTGCCGCTACCCAGCATCACAAGAGTATCGTATCGCATATCGCTAGCATGAAAAGATTAAAATTTGAAGTACAGTTTCTACTGAATGCATGTTGCTTTCACATCATCATAAAGTCAAAAAATCCTAAGTCGAACCCTTGTAAGTCAAGGACTGTCTGTGTTGAGGGACAGGCTGCATCTGGTCTGGGTGTGAATGTGACCCAGGAGTGGGTGCGTCTGGGCTGGGCGTGACGCTACGCCTCTGCTCTCTTACAGCCAAGTACATCGTGCAAGTGGATGGGAAGATAGGGCTCTTCCGAGGCCTGAGCCCCCGGCTGATGTCCAACGCCCTCTCCACCGTGACTCGGGGCAGCATGAAGAAGGTGAGCCTGGGGCGAAACCAGGAGCGGCTGCCTGAGGTTCCCCCAAGCTGCCTTCCACCCCCAGAGGCAGCCGTGTGCACTGGTCCTGCTTTTCCATTCCCAGTCTGGTCACGGTTCCACCTCAGCACCAAAGCCAGGCTCCAAACCCTGGTGGTCCATCGCTGAGTCCCCTTGATGGGGAGGGTTGCTGCCCCACAGTCCTCCTGCTTTCCCACAACTGTGACACCAGACAGGGCTTTTTTCCACCGAGATCCAGCCCTGGGGTTACCTGAGACGGGCCCAGCTGATGGAGCTGCAGAGAAAACAGCGGGAGCCGGCCCTGCCGTCTCTACATTTAAGAGGCATAGCTGTGCTTGGCTTTTGGCCCTCCTTGTTTTTTGTGGCTCAGGTTTTCCCTCCGGATGAGATTGAGCAGGTGTCCAACAAGGATGACATGAAGACTTCTCTGAAGAAAGTGGTGAAGGAGGTGGGTGTCTGGAATCGGAGATGGAGAGGCCCTCGGAGGGGAGTCTGTTTATTTCTCCCCTGGAGTTGGGCAGGTCACTGAAGAGCCACAGAGCTGGGTCCTTGTGTGTGCATGGGTGGGGTGGGACGTGGAAGGAGCCCCAGCGTGGACACTGCAGGGAATCCCAGAAAGCTCTCAGCCGCCGTGGGGTCTGGCCCCAGACCTGACAGCACTCCTTGGTGGAGGGGACTGGGGTTGGGCAAGTGGCACCATCTGAGGTAGAGTGACTCCACGTGGGGCTGCGGGATCCCCGTGAGTGCCAGTTCCAGAGACAGGCCAGGCCGAGTCACCACCCTCTGCTCTCTTCCAGACCTCCTACGAGATGATGATGCAGTGTGTGTCCCGCATGCTGGCCCACCCCCTGCATGGTGAGCTGCTGCATTGGAGACTGCATCGCAGCTGTGGGATGACCCCCCGGATTGTAGATGGGTAGCCATAGAATTGCTGGGAAGTGGGAGTGGGTGGGGGTATTCCACTGGAACCCCACTGAGGAGAGATTGGCCAGGGTCCTGTGCAAAAGGAGCTGGGGCTCTTCCCAGGCAGAAGAAATGGGATGCCATGGTCATGGGGTGTGACGGGGCATCCCAGAGGCCCTCATCCCCTCCTGCGCTGTGACACAGGCCATGTTGTGCAGTGGCCGCTCTGTACTGGGCACTCTGTGGCTGGGGTGACATGGGCTTTGGCCCACCATGTCACCTGTGTGTGTTTTCTTTTTCCTCAGTCATCTCAATGCGCTGCATGGTCCAATTTGTGGGACGGGAGGCCAAGTACAGGTGGGTAATTCTCAGGACTGGCAGGATTGGCCACGTTACCATTCAGAGTCTGCCAAGACAGGCCGTGCTGGGGTCAGTCGTTGCCCCTTTTCTGCCCCAGTTCTACTATGCTAGTTTCAGAGGAACGTGGTAGTGGCTTCCATAGTCTGCGTCCAGGGGCATTTCCTGTTCGCCATCTCTTTTCTGGCGCACCCTGGATGAGCCCTGCGGGGCAGGGGATGGGATTGTAGTCGCCTTGGATTAGGAGTTCCGACACCAGAGCTGATTCTGCCACATAGGACTGAGCTGGAGTTCCCTCCTGGACCCCCTAGGTTGTGCCCTAACAATTTCTCCGGCTGTCAGAGAACCCAGCTTAAGCTCGTTTCCTACTCTGCTAAGAGGCTGTCCACCCCATGAGCTTGGGCTCGTCCCCTTAGTTGTTTACTAGAAACTTCCCTTGGCCTCTGCTGTGCCTGGCACTGAGCTGGGTGCTGTGGGGGCATAGGTGTGTTGACTTTGCCCTTCCCCGTGGCGCTTATGGCCTCCCTGCCCCTCTGAGGCTCAGGGCAGGACAGGAGGCGGATCCTGGAGGCATGTGGCAGGAAGATTCGCTCTGTTACCCTTCCTCTCTAAGATTCTCGTTTCCTGGGTTCAGGTGTTTTCTGCAGCTGTGCTGTGGGACTACTGCCCCAGGAAACTCGGCTGCCGTGTGCCTCATTTGGGGTTCACTAATGGGAAATTGGCCCATTCTCCCAGACTGAAATGTGAGGTTGGTAGACGGGACCAGGAGGGGGTGATCTGGCTCAGAACCCCAGTGGGCAGAGCCACTGTTCTGAGCAGAAGGTAGGGCAGGGCTGGGCTACTCCAGGACCAGTGCTAGCCAGGGCCTTGGCTCCCACCGTCTCTCTCTCCTAGGCTGCCCATCGCCTAGGCTTTGCAGAGCCTCCCTGCAGGACAGGCCACTTGGCATTGGTAGCCACAGGTCACAGAGTTTGCTCTTTGAGCTTCTTTTGCATTTCATACCAAAGACACCACAGCCTCTCCCCTGGTCTCTAGCAGCCTGCAGTGGCCAAGGCGCTAGTCCTCAAGCTCCCTGCTGGGAGGGCCAGATGCCTTTTCCCAGGCTGCATCTGGGTGGTCTGATTCAAGGGCCTCTTGCTATAGGGCCCTGTGTTCCTTCTCTGCCCTCTGGAAGGTGATTCTGTCCACTCGCCACCCCTCCTGCTCTCACTGTGCCAGAAGGTTGTTCAGCCAGAGATAAGCACTAGGGCCAGGCAGGAGAAGGGCCTGTTTCCTCTGCAGCAGCCCAGGCTGGAAGGTTCGCTCCTAAACTCCAGATCCACAGAAAATGGCAGGAGAGAACTGCTAGGGTTCTGCGCCTGTGGGTTGCTGGGTTTCCGCAGTCTCCATGGACTGTGTACATGCCCCTTCACCCCCAAACAAGAGCTCTCAAATATTCCCCAGTCTATTCTGCCTAGTAACAGAGACTCCCCTCCCCGTCTCGGCCAGGACCGGATGGCTCTGAGCAGAGGTGGTGGGCTTTGCTCCACACCAGGGTGGGCTTCTGGAAGGTGACCACGTGACATTGTATTCCTCTCTTGCCTTCTTCACAGTGGTGTGCTGAGCTCCATTGGGAAGATTTTCAAAGAGGAGGGGCTGCTGGGATTCTTTGTGTACGTGAGTTTATACTCCCCGTACCTGGCCACAGGCATGGCTCTACTAACGGGCTCATTCTCAACCTCTCAGGCCGCAGCTGCTGGCCTCAGACTAACCACAGGGCTCTGTCCCAGCCGGAGCAGCTGCACTTCGGCTCCATAGAGCTCCATAGCATATGCGAGCTACAGATCATCCGGACCAAAGCTGCCCAGCCCTTTGCAGATCACGGCTCACACAAAAATGGTACTGTTTGTCCAGAACACTGGGGAGATGGGCTGACTGGCCCCCTTAGGCCCCATCTGTTTGCTCCAGGGCTGGGGGTGGACATGGGGATGGTCTTCATGAGCCAGGGCACTCCATCGTCCTTGGTTTCACTGCTGGAAAATGACTGAAAATCTGTGACTCGGATTGCAGGTGGAGCACTGGCAGCTCACAGGCCGACTCCAGCCCATGGATTGTTTGACATGGCATTTCTGACAAATTCGTCCTTTACATTTCACATGTAGGATATGTTACACAACAGTCCACATTTCTGGCTTCTCTTGAAAAGTCAGAAAACCTGATCCTGCTGGTCCTGTGTTTCTGCAGAGCAGTGTCAGCAGGGCTGGTCTCCCGAGAGCCCCAGACCCTGCCCTCCTTGTTTTCTCACACCCACCTTCCTCACCTGCAAAGAAAGCTCGTGCCGAAAAGACTAACCCACAAAGGGAGCCCAGAAGCTGGGCCTGACGAGCCTGTCCTTTATTTTGCCTTTTTAAGGTCCACGCAGTGACGTGCATGCTGATATGTACGCAGTATACCAGATGTGGGGCCCTCTAGTAACTCACGTTGTGGTTTGATAGCTGGCCAGGTGTTTTTATTTATGATCCTGCATTTCACCAAGAAACAACTACGTGGGTGTGTGTGTGTGTGTTTCTCACCAGGAGATGATTTTGCCCCCAGGGGACATTGGCAATGTCTGGAGACATCTTTTGGTTGTCACAACTGGCATCTAGTGGGTAGAGGCCAGGGATGCTGCTAAACATCCTGTAATGCAGAGGGCAGCCTCCACAACAAAGAGTTATTTGGTCTTAATTGTCCATAGTGCAAAGGTTGACAACCTTGATTTATACAGACACATATTCTCATATATATATGTATAAATATATATGTATAAACATTTGCCCATGTAACTGGTATATCAGACCTTAAAACACTGCATGTCACCACCTCTGGCTTTTTTTTTTTTTGGAGGGGAGGAAGAATAGCCCTGAGCTAACATCCGAAGCCAGTCCTCCTCTTTGCTGAGGAAGATTAGCCCTGGGCTAACATCCGTGCCCATCTTCCTCTACTTTATATGGGATGCCACCACGACAAGCAGTGCATCGGTGCGCAACCGGGATCTGAACCCCAGGCCGTTGAAGCGGAGCGCGTGCACTTAACCGCTGCGCCACCAGGCTGGCACCCACATCTGGCATTTTTCGCATATGTTATATAGTTCTGTTCTGGTGAATAGGATTCCCGCACAGTACATGCTTACTCGTTGGGTTCTTTTTTTTCCTTATGTGATTTTGGAACAGGCATACGGGTTACGATACTTGGAAAGCACCAAAGGGTGTATGTAGGTGGGAGGTCAATCAGAGCACAGGCGGAGGCAGCAGAGTTGTAAATTGCATTCACAAAGGTTCATTTTATTACTATCCCTCATAACATAGATGTGTTGCATATATTCTTTTGAAGTTTTCAAATATTTTACAGTAAGATTTTTTTAAAATTCAAAAATCATAAATCTGCTTCTCCTCCCAAGACATAGTCATTTTTCTCCTGGAGATCTTCCCATGTCATTCCATATCTAAACAAGCAAATAAACACATTAAAAAAAATACTAATAGCACATAGGACCCACTGATCTCAGTCTGGCTTCTTGCCCTCAGCACTGTGTCTTGGGGAGCCTTCCACATCAGTTTGTAGAGCTGTTTCTCGTAAAGGCTATCACTTTCAAAGTCAGCCCTCCTTGCAAAAGCTTGCATGGAATGTCTTAGATGGAACTTTCCAGGGGTGAAGACAACAGATGCATTGAGCAAAGTGTTTTGCGAGATTAGGTAAAGAGGCCAGGAGAAAACGACCAACCTGTAGGCACTCTTTCATAATCTGCATCTGAAAATCCCAGATTTAGCAACATGTACATCTTGAGGTCCGGCTTCTGTGGTTTGAAAACCGCTTGTGAGACGGTAAACTAATTTGTGGCGTCAGATGTGGCGTATAACACCCTCCATGGAGAAAGGAACATTGGCTTCCTGGTGTGGATAGCTGTGGCCCACGTGGCCCCTTCCTGAGGTGGTGCCGTTGAATATGCTGGAGTTTTGAGCTTGGACCATCCCTGCCTGCTTCCTGGGTGTAGAGCCCCAGGAAATGTTCCCCTCCCTCCCCTGCTCATCTTTGCTCACCTTGTTTTTTAGCGGCTTAATTCCTCACCTCCTGGGAGATGTGGTTTTCTTGTGGGGCTGTAACCTGCTGGCCCACTTCATCAATGCCTACCTGGTGGATGACAGCGTGAGTGACACCCCAGGGGGGCTGGGAAACGACCAGAATCCAGGTTCCCAGGTTGGTTGGAACAAGGACTTGTCCATCTTTCCGTGTACTGCTGACGCCCAGGGTCTGGGGCAGACTCGAGGACTCTGGGATTCTGAGCACCAGGCCTGAGGGCTAGAGAGGGCCTCTGGGGAGTGATCTGGGAAGAGGACCTCTGGTTGTCCCTGGGCCAGCTTTGCTGCTAGAGAGAGTGGCCTCAAGAGATGAGATTTGAGATCGGTAACCAGACCTGGAGGAGTTCATGGAATGCCCGTCTCTGGGCAGCTTTAGAAATAAAACAGACCCCAGCTTATCCAAGGCTGGTTTGAGTCAGTGACCCAACAAGGGGTCAGGAAATCAGGAGGTAGACCAACTAATAATAACCCTTTAACTTTTGCTTAATGTTTTATGCTTTTTAAAACTCTTTTGTGAACATTATAACATTTGATCCTGACAGCACCCCAGTTGTGAAGGGAACAGGGCGGGTATAACGTCCCGTTTTACACATAGAGAACTTGAGACCAGAGGCTGAAGGGCTCTACAGAGGCATTCAGCTGGGCATCAACAGGGCTGGGCCTGGGTCTTCCCTGTGCCAGGCTGAGGGTGCTTTCCCCCTTGAAGTGTTTCAGATCAGCGAGGAAGTATACCGTGCAGGCGTACCCCATTGTTTTGTTAGCAGTCATCTACACATGTTATGCACAGACTTCTCAGCAGGTTGGGTCAGGTGTTGGGAGGTGTTGGTCCTTCTAAAAGGAGCTTGTTGAAGAAACGTGTCTGGGGACTTGAGGGTTGACTGGTTCTGCCTGAACCCAGATAAGAGTTGGGGAACAGGGGTGGGCGGGAGATTCCTGGTAGCCAGACATTCCAACAGCGGGGATTGCCGACCCCAGGAGGATAGGCGAGGGGCTGGGGACCTGTCTGCCAGAAGCACTTTTGGGGGGAGTGGGTTCATAGTCTGTATGTGTCTGTGTCTGGGCCCCAGAATGGCGATTCTTGGGGGCCGTGGGGGTGGTGTCTGGGCATGTGTCTGTGTGGCGAGGAGTGCCCCGCCCCAGCTGAGAGCCTCTGCTCAGAGGCAGACAGTGTCAGGCCATTTGACTTGGGGGGGGGTGAGTCTTACTGCCCTTTCAGTGTAAGCAAATTCAAGTGGCTCCGGAGGGACCAGCTCCCATCTGCAGTTACTGTAGCACAAACCCATGGCCCTGCCCTTTCTGGGGGCCTTGTGGGCTGGTGAGCTGCTGCCGTCACATACAGAGCAGGGCTGGGACAGCTGGGGCGTCTTGGCGGGGGGAGGGGTGTCCCACAGCTGACTGGCTTCCTCCAGTCTGGGGGGGCAGGTGTCTGACCAGGGGCTGCTGCGCTCAGGTCACCGCCAATAGCAGTCAGCAGCTTCAGGGAAAGGATCTCTCAAGTGCTTTTCTGATGTGGCGTAAATGCTAAGGTGAGGCTGCTGCTCAGACACAGGGCTGAGCCAACCCCCCGCCCGCCTCAGGGTTGCAGGACAACCATCTGGTGGGATGGCCACGCCACAGGAAGCTGAGGGATAGGTAGTCCCCCTTTCTAGCTAGGAGCTATTTCCCCAGCAAAGTAGAATTCAGAAGTTGGGAGCCTGAAGGGGGCGCGAGCTTGGTGAGGTAGGGGGTGGCAGTGAGCCCAGAGTTCCCCCTCGCCTTTTGCTACAGGTCCAGGATTGTGTGTCTGGGTAGTTCGAGTGGGTATCCATCTTTTCATTCAGTAAGCACTTACAGAGCACCGATTGTGCCAAGCCCTGGACCTTGATCAAGGCAGACACAGGCCAAGCCCTTGGAGCTCAGAGCTCAGGGTTACACAGGCCAGCAGCCAATAATTCCACTTATCTGGTCTTCACTTCTGCTCCTCACCATCCCCAGCTGGGTCACAGAAATCCCTTCAGTCTGGTTGTCCCACTTCTGTCTCCCAGATCTTCTCTTGGCTCTGACTACAAGGCCACAGAAGCCGCTGGCAGGCCCTGAAAGGGAATGCAGTGTGCACAGCGGGTGTGTGAGGAGCTGAGTGCAGAGGATGTGTGAGGCCAGTGTGGAGGGCGAGGTGGAGGGGGCCCAATGAAGCAGCATGGGGCACGGGCCCCCATGTCTGAAGGCTACCTCCTGAGGTGCCTGGGGCAAACCCGTCTTCTTTCTGTCTCTTCAGTTCAGCCAGGCCCTGGCCATCCGGAGCTACACCAAATTTGTGATGGGGGTAAGTTGAGACAGCTGCCCCTCCCAGTGCCCTCTGGGCCTGGGTGGGGTTTAGGAGGCCAGCTCTGGTGGTGGCTGGAGGCAGCCCCAGTATCGGGTGTTGGTACAGTGTGGCCCTGCTCCCTGAGCCTGGGGCGGGGGTGCCGGTGGTGGGTGGGTCACAGACACTCTGCTCTCCCTGGTTTCAGATCGCAGTGAGCATGCTGACCTACCCCTTCCTGCTGGTCGGTGATCTCATGGCTGTGAACAACTGCGGGTAGGTGTGCTCCCCTCCGCCAGGCACCCTGCCCCCTTCCGCCTGCTCTTTGTGTAGGCTCAGCCCACCAGCCACCGTGGCTTCCTCTAGGATTCGCCACACCCCTTTGGGATGAATCTCTGGGTCCGGATATGGGTGGTGGCAGCTCCAAGCCATTCTTCTGGGAGTCTCCTTTTCTCGGCTGATCCATCTCCCACTGTTCTCTGTCTAACATGCTCTCCTTCCCGGGCAGGCTGCAGGCCGGGCTCCCCCCTTACTCCCCAGTGTTCAAATCCTGGATCCACTGCTGGAAGTACCTGAGTGTGCAGGTAAGCAGGCCCCCAAGGCAGGATTTTTCCTGTACTTCTGCCACATGGATCAGATGAAATGGTTCTGTGGCCTCTTCATTGCACACAGAGATAAGGTTGTCTTGGAATCCAGAGTTGTGAGTAGAGAGGATAAGGAGAAAGTAGACTCTTGTTTAAGGCATTTAAATTAAATTTTCACTTTATTTTAGAAAGGATTTGAGGTAGTTAGGTCTGATTTTATGTAAAAATTATACATCAGACGAGGTCTCCTTTTTTTCTTCACCTCTTAAAGACTCTTAGAACAAGTATGAGGGAGCCCGTGGGGTAGATGGTGAAGCCCAAGAACTTCTTATCCCAGAGTGACATGGGCTGAAGACGCAAGGACTAGGAGCAGTCCTGACAGGCAGCTGGCCTGTGGAGGCCGACCCCTCCCTCCTGCAGGACGTCCCCGGTGCCCAGGACAGCCTGAGGGTTGAGTTGGGCCACATGGTGAGCCTGGCAAAGGTGCCAGTTTGGGGGTCTTGTGTTCTGTGCCCAAACATCCTCCTGCTGGCTGGAGCTCTTGGGCCCAGAGGTCAAGGAGGCAGGTGTCTGATCCATCCTGTCCAAGGATGGCCCAGGGCACATCCTTGCCTTTTCCTGGCCTTGGTTTGCCTCGAAGCAAAATGGGGCAGTGGCCTGGGGAGAATCGAGCACACTGACTGGCCTCAAGGTTGAGAAGAGGACAGATGGGAGGGAAGCAGGGAGGCAAGAGACAGACGCGGTTCTTCCCAGCGACTCCAGTCAGTTCTGCGTGCGTCACGTCACGTGGGTATTGGAGGAGGCCAGACCACTTGGGCTCTGAAGCCAGAAGGGCACTGAGTCTCCTCTGGGGATTTCCTGTTGGGGGGGCCCATCGACACTGGACACCCTGTAGCAGAGTGAACTGCTCCCTTGTGCTCCAGCACAGGGCAGGTTCTGACCTTGCTCTCCAGGAATGCAAGCCTAGCACCCCCTGCCCTCCCTACCGGGTCTCTGAGCTGCTGCCTTCTTTGCCTTACGCTGGCCTTGCTTGGGGGCAGGGCGGGAAGCGTGGCCTCCCCTTTCACTGGCCTGTCTGCTCCTTCCAATCCAGGGCCAGCTCTTCCGCGGCTCCAGCCTGCTTTTCCGCCGCGTGTCCTCAGGATCATGCTTTGCCCTGGAATAACCTGAATCACCTAAGAAAACACGCTGCCTCAGCCTGGGCACCGCGGGGGAGGCCTGATCATCTCGAGGCACCTGTAAGATGACTCCAACCCAGCAACATCTAGATGTGCTCCAGCCCAGCTGGGCTTCGGTTTCCATATTTGCCGTGTGTCTGTCCAGAAGTGGGGGACGGGTGGGGGTGAGGCTGCACCCAGTGGATTGGTCACCTGTTAGACCTGGGGAAGGTGGGGCGGGGCTCCGGGATTGGGGCAGAGTCCCCTTACTTCACAGATTTGCTGAGTCTGCCTTGTGCCCGGGGGCCAGAGAATGACTTGTGGAGGCCTAGGTTGGATGGGAAAAGGCTCGTGGGGTCAGATCCCACCCCCCCCCCACCCCCACCCCCACCCCCGCTCACACCTGAGTCAGCCCAGCTCTCCTCCAGCAGCTCAGCTGGGAGCATTGCTATCCTGCTTGTAAATAGGGCGTGATCCCCTTTCACAAGGCCAGCATCATATGCAGGCCTGTATTAGGAAGCTATTCCTCGGTTCTACCTTTGTTTTTCTCAACACTACTTTTCTGATACGAAGGCAGCACCTTCTGAATGGGAAATCATGCGACTGCTCAGAATGTGTCCCCCTCATCACGTGCTCATTGGTTTAATGGTGACGCCTCCTGTGCGGGATCTGGTACCTGTGCAGTTGTGAGCACCCAGAAGTTAGGCAGATCGGTGTCTCTAGTCCTACCCAGTTTAAAAGTTCGTGATAAGATTTGACCCTTTCTCCCTCAAATAAATGTATTGGTGGTGATTTGGAGTTTTGTCTCTCATTTTTATGATTTTAAAAACTATCTGCAGAGTCTTTTTCAGTCCTTTGTGTTAGTGTGGGAAGGGGCTGTAAAGCAACAGGGCTGGGGGCAGCCCGGCCTGGAGATGAGCGGTGCCGGGGCTCAGTGTGGGTTAGCCTCGGGGGAGACACTGGATGATTTTCTGAATTAGACAAGGCCAAGATGCCTGTTCACAGAGCAGCCACTAGTGCACAGGCCTATTACCAGGGAGACAGTCCTTTTAAAGGCCTCTCCAGCTTCATAAAATGTTCTACCCAAACCCCTAACATCTCAGCACCGTTTGTGGATGACATTCAGGTTTTACTGAGAGTTATTTGGTGTAGAGGTCACATGGCTACAGCAGGATGGGGAGACATGGGCCCAGCTGAAGCACCAAGCTCCCTTCCTTCTCTGGAGAAGGTGGACCTCCCTTCCATTCACTTCTGCCCAACACCAGGGTCTGTAAACAAACGAAACTTAAAAATGGAACATGCTGGCCCCTGGAGACCCTGGGCTTCCATCTGATGGGGTTTGGACACCAGTTGAGGTCCAGCTGAGTTCCCGAATGTTTCTCTGCCCTTGCTCTAGGGGAGCTGGCTTCCGAGAGTTGGAGTCTGGTGACTTTGGTCATCCTTCCTCACAGGTATGGGCTGGGTCACCCCCAGGGAAGGCTCCTGGGATGCTTTTGCAGAACTGGTTTTCCTTAGTGGCCTAGTAACAGTTGACTCGAGGGCAGTTTACTTTATGGATCCTTGTTCCCCAAAAACACAGGACTGTGCCTGAGTGGGTGTCTTGTACGTTGGTTGAAGCCACTGAGGTCTCGTACTCACTTCACACAGCTAACGTGGCAGGGAAGGAGAGCACGTGGCAAGGTGAGCAGGCCAGGCCTCGCCGGCACCATTTCTTTAGAGAAGGAAGGCCCTTCAGTGGCGTGTCTGCCTCATGGCACCTTACCTTTCTCCAGCCCAGCCTGGTTTCCCACCGTACTGACTACTGTTCTGGGGCAACTTTTCTTCCTGTTGCTCTACCCTCAAATCCTATTTTTGCGTCAGTTACTTCCTGTGGTCCCCGAGATTTAGGGGTACTGGCATCTCAGGAGCCCGAGCTGAGCTGGCTGTGAGGAGCCCCTCCCTTTGACAGCCACCTCCTCCCACAGGTTGGGAGAGGCCACAGGGGTAAAGAATGGGCCATGGGTGGGCTTAGCAAGTCACCTTGAGGAGAGCCAGTACTGCTCCCAGGTAATACCCTGGAATTTCTGAATTTCGGGGTGTCGACTACATATCCCAGGCTATCTTCCTCATCCATAAACGGCAAGAAAGTCCCTTTGATACTTTCTCAGTTTCTAGTTGAGCAAAGTACAGGTTTTACTCCTAACAACTTTCAGTTCAGTGTTCAGATGCATGTATTGTGTATGTTAAATGCTCCCTTTGTTTCCTGGGCCCTTCAGTTTTTGAGGGCTAAGGCCTCACCTGCCCTCTGAGCACCTGGCATGTTCCCTGTCTGTCCTGGAAACTAGAATGATGAGGTCTTTATCTGAGAAAGGAGATTGGGTTGGATTGGGGCACGAGCGGAGCTGAGCTGCTAGCAAAGGAGGGGTGATGGGAGAGGGAATGTCTGTGTGGGGAATCAATCACCTTCCTCCCCCCTGAAAAGCCTAATTCTGATGGACAAAGCTGGAATGTCCCCTGGCAGGCCTTTTGGGGCTCCCTGTGATGAAGCTTGAGGTGGTAGTGGTGGCCTGTGCTGGGCCCTGCTGTAGCCCTTGTTACTGTGCCAGTCTCCACATGCCTGGGAGCCGTGCAGCAGTGCTGGGGCAGACCCCTCCCCACTCTGGTCCTCGAGGCCTCAGAGTGCCAGCCCCCCTGCCCTCTGTTTGAACGTGCCCTCCCATCCCATGGGTTTGTGCTGACACATCCCCTCCCTGCCCGTTTGTCACAGCCCCACCTGACTAGTATGGGACACCATGTCTTGCCTTCTGTTATTTCCCCCAAAATAAACTTCCAAAGGGGTCCCTGCTCCTGGTCTTGGATAGGTTCTCTCGTGTGACAGGGCTCCTGAGGGCTGGCCACACATGCTCTTGCTTTGCAGGAGGCAGGCAGAGCCCACCCAAAACTAGGACAGATGGGTTTGGGCCTTCACAGTCCTGCTCTGCCCAGAGGCCACATCACCTGACCACCTCATAGGACCTGGGGCTAGCTTGAGAAAACAGGCCTAAAGGGGAGGGAGCCTCCTCAGGAACGCAAGTTAGATCAACATCTGAAAATCAATTAATGTAATACACTCTATCCATAGAATAAGGAACAAGACCAAATATAATCATCTCAGTAGACACAGAAAAAGTATTTGAGAAAATTCAACATCCCTTCATGATAAAAACATTCAGAAGCCTAAGAATAGAAGAGAACTTCCTCAACATGATAAATGGCATCTATGAAAAACCCATAGTGAACGTTATACTGAATGGTGAAAAACCTACTAATGTTTTCCCCCTAACATCAGGAATAAAACAAGGATGTCTGCTCTTGCCACTACTCGACATTGTACTGGAGGGTCTAGCCAGGGCAATTAGGCAAGAAAATGAAATACAAGTTATCTGGGTTAGAAAGGAAGAAATAAAACTCTCTGCAGATGATATGATCTTGTATATAGAGAATCCTAAGGAATCCACTAAAAATTCTATTGTAACTAATAAATGAATTCAGCAAGGTTGCAGGATATAAAATTGATATACAAAAATCAATTGTCTTTCTATACACTTGCAGTTAACAAAGTGAAAATGAAATTAATAAAAATAATTTAATTTACAATAGCATCAAAAATAATAAAATAATTATGAATAAATTTAACAAAAGAATTGCAAAACTTATACTTTGAAAACTACAAGACATTGTTGAAAGAAAGTAAAGATCTAAATAAACGGAATGGCATCCCATGTTCATGGACTGGAAAACTTAACATTGTTAAGATGCAGATTACACAATCCCTGTCAAAATCTCAGCTGACTTTGCAGAAGTTTGACAAGCTGATCCTAAAATTCATGTGGAAATTCAAGGGACCCAGGAGAGCTTAATCTTGAAAAAGAAGAATAGAGTCAGAGGACTCACACTTCCCAATTTCAAAGCTTACTACTAGCTACAGTAATCAAGACAGTGTGGTACTGGCATAAAGACAAGACATATAGATTAATGGAATAGAATTGAGAGTCCAGAAATAATAATTCACATTTATGGTCAATTGATTTTCAACAAGGGTAATGACAATTAAATGGAGGAAGAATGATCTTCAACAGAAGGTGCTGGGACGACTGGATATTCACATGTATGAATGAAGTTAGGCTCCCACCTCACACCACATACAAAAATTAACTAAAAATGGATCAAAGACTTAAATATAAGAAAACATAGGCATAAATCTTCATTACCTTGGATTAGGCAGTGGTTTCTTATAACACCAAAAGCACAAGCAACAAAAGAAAAAAAATAGACAAATTGGATGTCATCAAAATTACAAACTGTTGTGTTCAAAGGATACCATCAAGAAAAATTGAAAAGACGATCCACAGAATGAGAGAAAATGTTTACAAATCATATATCTGATAAAGGACTTGTAGCTAGAATATACAAAGAATTCCTACAACTCAATAATAAAAAAAAAAAAATGCCCCAGTTAAAAAATGGGCAGACGGGGCCAGCCCAATGGCGTAGTGGTTAAGTTCATGCACTCCACTTCGGCAGCCCGGGGTTTGTGGGTTCGGATCCCGGGCATGGACCCATATACAAAATAGAGGAAGATGGGCATAGATGTTAGCTCAGGGCTAATCTTTATCAGCAAAAAGGAAGACTGGGGGGGCCAGCCCAGTGGCGCAAGCGGTTAAGTGCGCGCGCTCCGCTGCGGCGGCCTGGGGTTCGCCTGTTCGGATCCCGGGTGCGCACCAACGCACTGCTTGGCAAGCCATGCTGTGGCCTTGTCCCATGTAAAGTGGAGGAAGATGGGCATGGATGTTAGCCCAGGGGCCGGTCTTCCTCAGCAAAAAAAGAGGAGGATTGGCAGATGTTAGCACAGGGCTGATCTTCCTCACAAAAAAAAAAAAAGAAAATCGACAACAGATGTTAGCTCACGGGCCGAGCTTCCTCACCAAAAGAAGATTGACAACAGATGTTAGCTCACGAGCCGATCTTCCTCACGCAAAAAAAAAATGGGCAAACAACTTCAATAGACATTTCTCCAAAAAAGATATACAAGTGGCCAATAAACACATGGAAAGATGCCTGACATCATTAGCCATCAGGCAAATGAAAATCAAAACCACAATGAGATACTACTTTACACTCACTAGGAAGGATATAATAAAAAAGACAGATAATAACGTGTTGGCGAGGATGTGGAGAAACTGAAACCCTTGTATGTTGCTGGTGCGAATGTAAAATGGTACAGCCACTTTGGCAAGTAGTCCGGCAGTTCCTAAAAAAGTTAAACATAGAGTTACATGTGATCTAGAGTTACCATATGATACCACTCCTAAGTATACACCCAAGAGAAATGAAAACGCATGTCCGCACAAAAACTTACACGAATGTTTATAGCAGCATTATTCATAATAGCCAAAAAGTGGAAACAACCCAAATGTCCACCAGTTGATGAATGGATAAATAAAATGTATTCCATACAAAGGAATATTACTTGGTAATAAAAAGGAATGAAGTACTGCTCCATGGTACAACATGGATGAACCTTGAAAATATGCTGGGTGAAAGAAGCCAGTCACAAAAGGCCACATATTGTATGATTCCATTTATATGAAACGTCAGAATAGATAAATCCATAGAGACAATAGATTAGAGGTTGCTTAGGGCTGTGGGTGGGGGGTGGAGGGAAAATGGGGAGTGACTGCTAATGGGTATGGGATTTCTTTTTGGGGGGATGAAAATGTTCTAAAATTGTGATAGTTGCACAACCCTGTGAATATACTAAAAACCCTTGAGTGGTACACTTTAAATGGGTGAGTTTTGTGTTATATCTTAATAGAGATACATTATATCACATATATATATGGTCGGCGTGCAGCACTGGCCTGACTTGGATGCTGCCTGTTTAACCACGCACACTCCGGCTTTGGCCCTGAGACAGTTGCCCTGTCTCTCCCCATCAGCCCCAGCTTGGTCCAAGGCTGCCCTCAGTCCCCAACTGAGGTTGTATGCCACTCCTTGATCCTGGGTCCTGAACCCAGCTAGCCCCACTGGTGACTCCTGGAGCTGGGAGTCAGCCCAGCACCCTTGGCCTTCCCTTGGCCCTTTCCCCTTCCTGTCAGCTACCTGAAGATTGGGTGGGTAGGTGGGGGGGAGTTACAGAAAGGAAAGGAAGAGTGCCCCAAATAACTAAATGGAGTATTGGGGAGTGGGGGGTAAAGGAGAAGGAACAGTGCCACAGGTTGGTGGGGGGAAGCATTGAGCCTCTTCGCCCCCCGCCCCGCCCAAGCACGGAGACTTGGGGAACTCGAGCACAGGCTTTTATTCAGGAGGCAGGGGCTGCTTCCCTTCCCTGGCCCCTGCCTGCCCCACCCACAGAACCCCACTCAGGCGGGACTTGTCCCCTCACACTGCCCCCCAGCTACACAGGTGAGTAGGGGAGGAAGGCACTCAGAGAGAACCCCCACCCTGCACAGGCAGACAGCCCTAGGCCAGCAGGCAGGGATCTCTCCAGAATCCCCACCCTTCCCCTCGACCCTGGACCGAGATGGGAGAGGCAGGAGGGGTCCAGGCCAGGTGTGCAGTCATCGGGCGGCAACCTGAGCTCGCAGCCAGCCCTGCCTCGTGCCCCAGGATGTCTGGGGATGAGGCACATGCCCTGCAGCCTCCAGAGGGCCCTCAGCCAAGATGTGTCTTGTTGGGGGTGCTGGGGACAGGGTGGGGGAGATGGCAGGAGGATAGCTGGTCTCTTCACCCTGGGAAGGCAGGAGGCACTCCTGGGAACAGCCCAGGACTTGGATGGCTCCAGGAAGAGGCCAGGGGACTGGAGGGGCCAAGGGACTCCTGGCATGCCCTGAGATCTTCTGTCCCTAGAAGAGCAGGCCATGGCCGCAAGACAACTGGAGAACAGGCACCTGTGGCCACAGGAACACTGCTCAGAACAATCTGCAGCTAGCTGAGGAGTGAGCCTCCCCAGAGGCAGAGGCACTCCTGGGGCAGTGCCAGGGTGTGGCCCTGTAGAGGCCGCCTGAGGGCACAAGGGCACTAGCCTGGAGTCTGGGCAGGAGCTGGGGTGAAGAGGGGCTGTTGGGCCACAGAGCAGGACCTGTCCAGGGAGCTGTGGCCTCTTACTCGGAGACAGACAATCCAGAGTGGGCATGAGGCCAGGGTGCCCCCACCAGCCTTGCCTTTGAGTGGTGAGCCCTTCAGAAGATTCCGGCCAACACCAGGGGAGGCAGTAGCAGCAGTCCCAGGGGCGGGCCCCAGACAGGACCAGGGCCCGAGTTCAGCCCTGACTTGATGCCAGGCTTTTCAGGGCCCTCTGCACCTGCAGGAAGGGGGAAGCTTTGCCTCAGCCTGGAGACAGCTCTGCCTGACCTCCCACCCCCCTATCAGGCATGCAAGGGGGAGCCCAGCAGCAAGGGAGGAAACTCCTACTCAGAGGGTGCATGCCCCGCCATGCCCATACCATCTATGCTGGGGGCGGGTGCTGACATTCTGGAGTCAGGAGGGAAGGCAGGACAGATGCTACAGGCCTTACCTGGCAAGGACGACTGCAGGGCCAAGGTACGCCCGCCCATGGCGTTAGCGGTGGCAGAGGTATTGGGGGAGTTGGGCAGGGACTTGGAGGAGGTGTGCCCCATGTGGTCCAGTGTGGCCTGCAGCTCACGTGGCTCATCCTGGGCTGGAATAACTGAGGCTGAGACCTCACTGGAAGGAGGCAACTCGGCCTCAGCCTCGCCCTCCTCCTGGGAGTAGGGTAGCGGCTCCCGTGTCCCTGTCAGGGACACCTTGGGGTGCAGAGAACTCTCTGGGCTTCTGGAGGGCATTGTTGTCCTGCTGGCCTCCTTGTCTGCTGATTTGGGGATGGGATCACTGGTCGATTTGGGGAAGGGAGCTGGCCCCTCATCCAAGGAGAGCAGGCTGTGAGTTGCCAAAAAGAAAGGGACCTCAGTTGCCAAGGAAGATGGGGCCTCAGTTACCAGGGAAGGCAAATCCTCTTCAGGGCCTCTGATGGGTTCTGATAAGAGAGACAAGGCCTCGTGTTAGTGCTGCAAGAGGGACCTCACATCCCTCACCCCACCGCAATCAAGGTGAGGCCACCAAATGTCCTAGGACGACACACAAACACACCCCCCCCTCCAGCGAAGGTCCCTCATTGCTAATAAATGTTATTTCTTGTGATTGACACTGTTACTCCTCCCTCCTAGTCCTCCTCTCGGCACTCTCACTTCTACTTTGCGGGGGACTTCTCCAGCTGGATTCCTGTTCCAATGCGCCCACTGCGTGCCAGGCCCGGCCCATCCGTGTCCCTCCGACCACGCCCACCGCCGGCCCCGCCCATCCCGGGCCCTCTCCGTCTGGCCACGTCCACCTCGCCCAGCCCGCGGGACTCTCCCCTACCTTCGGCTTGGAGGGTTGAAATCCGGTCACTTGGAATGACAAGGCGCTAAAGCGGCTGCGCAAGGAGGGCGAAGCGGGCTTGGGAACCCGGATTGGGTGGGGCCGCCGAGAGCCCCTGGAGGTCGCATCCCACCGCGCCTCCCCTGCCCACGCATGGCCCCGGAGTAGAGGGAGGCTCTACTCCGTGGCTCTGGTCACCGTGCCTTCCCTCCCCTTCCTTTTCCTCCCCACCCCATCCCTGACTCACCACAGAGGGAGTTCTCACAGTGGTAGCCGGAGGGACATTGGGAGCACGGAGTCCCCTCCTGGTAGGGCCTCTGCCTCTTCACGTTCCCCCTGCAGGAGGCGAGGAGGATGTGGGAGGGAGGGGAGATCCCTGCCAACCCCTGACGCTATCTATCCCTCGTACGCACACCTAGTCCAGAAGTACCCCGGCCAACTAACTTGATGGGCCAATGAGAGCAGACTCCCATCCGTGCCCTCAGCTCCCCCAAGAGTATGGGGTGTAGGCCCTAGATTGGTCCCCTCCCACTTCTTTAGACTGTGCCCAACTCAGCCCTCCCCTTGGCTCTGCCCGCCCCTTACCCCAGGGCTCCCTCAGCACTCACGGGGGCTCATAGTTGCAAACCAGCAATTGGATATTGGTCTCCTCAATGCCCTGGAGCTTCTCACAGAAGTGGGAGCCACAGCCAATCCGCTCTGTCTTGGCCCAGACCACCTGAAGGAGGGCAAACCCAACAGTTGGCCCGGGTAGGATGGCCCCTAGCTGGTGTCTCTCTACACCAGCCTTCTATGGGTGGGGAGAGGAGGAACCCTATAGCCTGTGAGATCCAAGTCCCTGAGGACACACAGCTTTGGGACAAAACTTTAAACAGGCGGCTGGGGGCGGGGAGGAGTTTGTCCTGAACAATCTTCTCTCCTGCCAACCACACACACTGTTTCACCTGGCCTCTCTCCCTCTGAAAACCTTCCCTTTTGATATACCCTCATAAATTCTTCTTGTGGGCTCTCCCTAGAGGCCCTTGCATTTTAAACAAGGAGTATATCCAAATGAATAAATCTCAAATGGGAGAGTCTTAGACATCAGCAACAAGCAAAGCTCAAGGAAGGAAACGGGAGGAACCATTTTGAAAATGGAACTTCTCCCACATCACAGGTAAGCAGGGAGCTGCTCTGCGGGTTCTGTGTGTGGGTCTCCTAGCTGCCAGAAGGAGTTCTGTCTTAAGTATAAAATTTAAAAAGTCAGAACAACCTTTGTGCACCACCATGGGCTGAGTCCAGAACCCTCCCCTTGCTGTTTCTAGGCCCAGTCTGCCCAGGAGTCACTCCAACTGAGGCCAGTTTTTGCTGTGAGATCTGGTTTTAGCTGTTGATTCTGTATACACCCACACCCACACCCACACACACACACAGACACTGGCCCCGGGATTGGGGTCTTTCTGCTTAAATCAGCTGAGGGTCCCCCAGGTACCACTGCTGAGCATCTCCCAGGCAGAAATGACGCCAGAGAGTGTGTGTACTCAGCCCTAGAGAATGTTGGGGCAGAGGTGGGGCAGACCCACTCCTGCTGGGTCCTGACAGCAATCTGTTCAGGAGGATATGTATGTAGGGGGGCTGTGAGCGGGGACAGGGGACAGAGGGAAGGGGGCAGGGAGGGCTGCTGGGCCCTCACAACTTCCTGATTTGGGTGGGTGATGTTGGGATTTCCTTCCCTAAAGATTAGCACTAAAAATACCACCCAAAAGAGGCACTGGAAAATGGAATTGGTGGATATGGGTGGGAAGATGGTGAGTGTACTTTTTCCTTTTTTAAAAAATTGTCATGTTATTGTTTGAACAAAAAATAGGCATTGGGAGGAGAAAAAAGAGAATTCAATAACACTAATATTAATTGCCCTACACACACACGCACACACACACACACCCTATACCTGTTAATTGCAAACTCAAACTTTCAAAATGCAGTGAGAACCCTGACACAAGCAAAAAGTGGCGGCGAGGCAGGAAAAGCTCTCAGAAGGCTCCCTGAGACCTTCACTCAGTGACAATTTCCTCTTACTTTACACATACACAGTTTTTAAAAACAAAAGAAAAATTAAACAAACAAAATTGTTTATTTGCTTGTTTGGTCCCTGGCAAATTAGAAGCAGCAACTTAAGACATCATGAGAAATGACAACAAACGGACAGTGAGAGAGAAGACAGAAGTCGGGGGGCATTTACTGTGGGGGGACAGCCCTGCATAACTTAGGTCAGAGGACAGTACTGCCTAGAGCTCGGTCAGGATGGCCTCATTCACTAACTACTGTCCACGCAAAGGGCTCAGCGACACCTGAGTCAGGTCTCTTCAGTACCAGGAGGCCGAAAGGGGCCGCCTGTGTTTTCAAAAGATTGTGGTTTCTGAAGAATCAACTGACAATGGTTTAGGCAGTTTGAGAAGCAGACTTCGTCATAGGCCTGGACTACGCATCAATTGCTGTGGAAAGACAACTTTCAAGAAGGATCTAAGGGGGCTTAGCATGTGGACTAAGGGACTCCGGGGCCGTGAAAGGAGAGGGGGCCCCGCCCGCCCGCCTCGCACCTGCGTGTAGTGGCCACACATCTGGCCCGGGTCGCAGGCGGTGGCGCTGAGGTTGTAGTGGTCGCGTTCTTGGTGCCACTGCTCCACGGCCAGCGGCACATCCATGCCCTCGTCCATGATGGCGAACAGGTTCTCGCCGCGCCGTCCGCGCTCCTTGTTGTGGCCCCAGATGCACTGCTGCGCGTAAGCCTTGGCGAAGGCGGCCAGCTCCTCGTCCCACCTCTGTGGGGCAGGTCAGGGAGGGGGGTGAGCACGCTTAGGGCTCGATGGAGGCAGGTGTAGGGGATGGGAGAGGGAGGTGAGGGTGCCCACAGTTCTGTGAGGATCGGAGAAGAAGGTTGAGGGTGTGCTGGGGGCCAGAGATCCTCCCATCCTTAGCGGGGTGACTCTTGGCCATGATCTGGAACAAGTCTCTGCTCTTGGTGGGCTTCTGTGGGCAGGTGGGAGGATGCCACCCCAGGCCATGAAGTTAGTCAAGCTTAAGGCCATTCACCAGCTGTGTGATTTTGGACAGATTGCCTAACTCTCTGAACTCTCATAGGGCTTTGGGAAAAATAAGTGAGATGATGTTTGTAACAATGTTATTATTAATTTGTGTGTGTGTGTGTGTGTGTGTGTGAGGAAGACTGGCCCCGAGCTAACATCTGTTGCCAACCTTCCTCTTTTTCCTTGAGGAAGATGGTCCCTGAGCTAACATCTGTGCCAGTCTTCCTCTATTTTGTATGTGGGATGCCGCCACAGCATGGCTTGATGAGCAGTGTGTAGGTCCACGCCCAGGATCTAAACTCAAGAACTCTGGGCCAGGAGCGCACGAACTTAACCACTATGCCACCAAGCCGGCCCCAATGTTATTATTAATTAATATTAATATCCTTCTATGTGAAAGGTGGGCAGCAGCGATGCCCCTGCCGAACTCCCAGGGCTGCCTGAACCACTCTGAAGACCACAGGATGTCCAGTGAAATGTTCCAGGGCTGGGTCGTTTATTCAGCAGTTCCCCTCCCCGTCCCACCCACCATGAATCTGACTTGGGGGGCCAGTGTTCCCCTCTGAGCTCCCACTCTCGCCTGGGATAGCCCAGCCTCTATGGCTTTCCCAGCTCCAGGCTTCTCTCCCGAGTGCTATTCCCAAGCGCTCTCAACTCTTGTCAATCCTTTTCCCCAAGAAAATTGTCTCTGTGTGACGCTCATCCAGAAGCCTATTTTCAGAGCCTGTGTGCCCAAAAGAGCTGTCAGATCCCAAAGCCAGTCATCTCCAGTTGGGGACCTCAGGTGAAACAGTGGGAGGGGGCATTTTAGGTTAGGGAGCTTCTGAGGTTCAGTGTCCCTGGCTGGGAGGACAGGCCCAGTGTGTGTGGGAAGAGGGATTAACAAGGCATCTGACCAAGGGAGTGAGGAGGGAGGCCTGGATCCCATTAAACTTTGTCCTTGGCCTCTCCTGGAAAAGGATGGCCTGGCGGCAGCCCTTGCTCCACCCTCCGGAGGCCCAGCCAGTTGCGGGAGCCAGACAGCCCATCAGGCGCCAGGAGCTTGGGTGACCCCGAGGGGACGGGGCTGTGTGGCCACACCCACTTCTCCCCCCTCAAGGTTCTCAGGAGCAGCTGCCAGGGCCTGTCCACAAGTGCTTTACACATGTTCACTCATTTAATCCTAACAACCATCATACAAGAGCGTTGTTATGTTGTTATCATCCCCAATTGACAGATGAGGAGGCTGAGGCACAGAGAGATTAAGTACCTTGGCCCAGGTCATCCAGCTCATAAATGGCAAAGTCAAGATTTGATCCCAGGCCCTTTGTCTGCAGAGTCTCTGCATTCCCTCACTGCAAGGTTGAGCCTGAGCCTTGTCCCAGATTTATCCTGGTGTCCCAGGCCAGCCTTACCTCCACCCCCTCCTCCGATCACGTCCCACCAGGCAGCAGCATATGCCCTCAATATCCGAACTGCTTCCCAGGATGTTGCCCCACCCCCGAGGCCCACCTCTGTCTGCAGAGCAGCTCCCAGCCTGTGTGTAGCCCCAGACTCAGCCAGCGAGAAGGTAGGGCATCAGGGATCTAGATGGGGAAACTGAGGCCCAACAAGGCGTTTCAGCCTCAATCTGGGAGCTTTGGCAGAGCTGGTACAGCCTCCAAGGGCTACTGATATATTGTCTGCAGTTCCTGGTCGCCAAGGCCAACAGGGCTGTGAATGGTGGTGCTGTGTGCACTTGTAGAGCCCTTCCTAGATCTTTCTCACACGTCATCCCGTCTGACCCTCAGGGCCGGGATTGCCAGCCCCACGTGATAGATCAGGAAACGGAGGGATTTGAAGGTAAAGGGGCCCACCCAGAGTCTCTTTGCCAGATTGGACCCCCAGGCTCGCTGCTGTGTTCCCCAGGTGTGACCTTGTTCTTGGGCACCAGCTACAGGGCCCCTGGACACTGCCCATCAAGCTCCCAGGACACCTGAGGGTGACTGGAGGAGACGGGCTGGTCCAGCCCTCAGGGAGGGCAAGAAGGAGGTGCATTTCTGACTCTCTCTTTTAATCTTGAGCATAAACATCCTGCTCCTACCCCGCCATCAAATCACTCTCCTCTGACAGAGGTAACCACCGCCCCAGATCTGGCTTCCATTGTCTGTAGGCATGTCCATGTGCGTTTGCTACATCTGCATGTGTCCCCCACCAGTGAACAACAGTATTTTTTACATGTTTTTAAACCTCTTGTAAATATAGCCTACTGTATATATTTTTTTTGAGATTTCATTTTCCTCCCCCACTCAATGTTCTATCTGTGAGATTCAGTCCATGTTGATGTATATGTAGCTCTAATGATGACCCCATTTTACAGATGAGAAACTGAGGGTCCTTACTAGGTTAAGGGACTCCCCCAAATCGCAGGTCTTCTAGGTGGCTGGGACAGAATTTGAACTGTGTGATGCGGGTCCCTCTCTGCTGCTGGTTCCTCTTCTCACCCATCTCCTTAGTAGGTGCTGGGACCCGTCCTGCTGCCCTGTTCCCTCTTCTCATCTCCTTAGAAGGCATCTGAAAGACTGTTCACCAAGGTTAGGAACTTCCCATGTTCCCCTCCCAGGGGCACGTGTATTTTAAGAAGCACTGGGAAGTGGTTGTTGGAGTAGGAAGCCAGGGCTTCCAGGCCTGGCTCTGCCAGCTGTGTGACCTGCAAGGCCCTGAGGGGCCAGCAAGTCCCTCTGAGCCTCAGTTTCCTCATCTGTATAATGGGGCTGCTTCTGCAGACCTGTGAATTATAGAATGTCAGGGACTCTGACCAGAGAGACGAGTCTCTGAGATAGTTTCAGGTCAGGGGGTGGGAGGGATTGGTGGGGGGCCCATCCCACACCTCTTCCACCCTGGCAGGTGAGTGCCCCTGGCCACACTCACCATTTGCAGCATGTCAGCGGCCGGCGGGGACACCTGGGCACGGTAGTGGTTGTGCAGCTTCACCATCTCACGTTTCTCTTCATCACTGAGGGCTCCAGCAGGGCCTGTGGCAGCCACCAGCAGTAGCAGCAGTGGCAGCAGGGGCGCCAGGAGACTACGAGAGCCGTGCATGGTGGCCAGCCCTCTCTGCCTTTCCCATCCAGGGGTCTGGCAGCTGGATTTAAAGTCCTTCCCACACAAGCACCACCCTGGCTGGGGTGGGCGGGAGGGGCTGTGTCTGGAGGCCTGGCCCGGCTCACACAATGTCTTGGGGAGGGCTGAGTCCACTCCCAGCATTTATCTCCCCTTGGAGTCCTTGGCAAAAGCTTCCTTTCTCTCAGTAACAGGGGCTTAGGCCAAGAGCTGTGTGAGTTCCACAGTCCCTTCCGACTTGTGGACAGGTCCTCCAGGCTCCAAATCACAGTGACCTCTCCAGAGCTATGACTGGTTGCACCCAGGTCACACCCACTGGGTGCTGAGAACAAACAAGAGGAAGGAAACCAAACAGACTCTACCCCCAGAGGACTGGGCAAGATGAGGAAGCTACAGGTGGCTTGTGGCAGGATGGAGGAAGATAAGAGGCAGTTGGTACAGGTTGGGCCAACCTAAATCTGACTCCTGGTTCTGCTCCTTTGCTAGCTGTGTTTTTGCCAGTTTTCTCGGCTGAGGCAATGATAATAATAGTACACACCTCACAGGGCTAGAAGGAGGATTGTATAAGGTCGAATGCATGTGAAGCACCCAGTACAGTATCTGGCAAGTAGTAGGCCCTCAGTAACAGTAGACAACAGCCACCCACACGGCGTGGCCTTGGCCAGCTCCCCGCCCCATGGGGAGGCAGGACTTCTGCGAATGTGGGGAGGGACCGAGTGTTTCCCACTCTGGCTGTTTCCTGGAATAGGGCTTTTCACTGTGGATGCAGTTTTGGCCTCCGTGTGCCCCCTGGGAATGCGTGTGCTTCAGGTGCTCATTCGGAAGTGGGTGCTGGGACCCCCGCCTGCTCTGAATGTGTAGAAAATAGAATGTGTTTGTTTTGAAATCAAGGGGGAGCAGAAAGGCAGAGGGGTTAGTGAGCTGATGCAGCAGGAGCTCTGAGGGGAGGGTATTGGAAGGGAAGTAGGCCAAGTGGCCAAGCACTGGCATTGTAATGGCCACTCAGGGGCAGGGACTAAGGTCTTGGTCTCCATGAGGCAGGAGGCTGGAACCAGTACTCGTTTTTTTTTTTGTTTGTTTTTTTGTGAGGAAGATCAGCCCTGAGCTAACATCTGATGCCACTCCTCCTCTTTTTGCTGAGGAAGACTGGCCCTGAGCTAACATCTGTGCCTATCTTCCTCCACTTTATATGGGACACCGCCACAGCATGGCTTGACAAGCCGTGCGTCGGTGCACACCCAGGATCTGGACCGGCGAACCCCGGGCCACCGCAGCGGAGCACGCACACTCAACCACTTGCGCCACCGGGCCGGCCCCCTGGAACCAGTACTCTTGTGTTTAGCTGGGATCCTTGAAGCCTGCATTCTCAGTGAATGGAGACCTAGAAAACGCCTACTCACTGGCTTTGGAAGATGGCAAGAAAACTATCCCTGCCTCAGGCCCTGGGTAAAAAAACAAAAGCAAAAACAACTTGGATTCCACACACACACACACAAACACACACAAATGTGAGAACTAATTAAAAAATTCAGCGAAGTTGCAAGATACAGAATTAACACACATAAACAAATTGTATTTCCATACACTAACAACGAACAATCCAAAAAGAAAATTAAGAAAACAATTCCATTTACAATAGCAGTAAAAAGAATAAAATACTTAGGAGGTAACTTAACCAAGGAGGCAAAAGACTTGCACATTGAAAACTACAAAACATTGCTGAAAGAAATTAAAGGAGACACAAATAAATGGAAAGACATCCCATGTTCATAGATTAGAGGTCTTAATACTACCTAAAGCAGTCTACAGATTCAGTGTATCCTTCCCAAAATCCCAATGATGATTTTTTGCAGAAATAAAAAAATCCATCCCCAAAAGTCATATGGAATCTCAAGGGACCCCAAATAGCCAAAACAATCTTGAAAAAGAAAAACAAAGTTGGAGGTCTCACACTTCCTGATTTCAAAACTTACTACAAAGCTACAGTAATCAAAACAGTGTGGTATTGGCATAAAGACAGACATATAGACCAATGGAATAGAATAAAGAGCCCAGAAATAAACCCTTGTGTATATGATCAAATGATTTTTGACAAGGATGCCAAGACTATTTAATGAGACAGTCTTTTTAACAAATGGTGTTGGGAAAACTGGATATCCACATGCAAAAGAATGAAGTTGGACCCTCACTTTACACCAAATGAACTCAAAATGGATCAAAAACCTACAGAAGAGCTAAAACTACAAAACTCTTAGAAGCAAACACAGGGGAAAAACTTCATGACCTTGGATTTGGCAAGGATTTCTTGAGTATGACACCAAAAGCACAGGTGAGAAAAGAAAACATAGATAAATTGGACTTAAAATTAAAAACTTTCGTGTCTCAAAGGACGCAATCAACAGAGTGAAAAGGCAACTCAGAGAAAGTATTTTCAAATCATATATCTGATAAGGGATTAATCTCCAGAATATATAATGTTCATATAGCCAAAAGGTGGAAACAACTCAAATGCCCATCAATTAATGAATGGACAAACACAATGTGTTTTTTTTTGTTTTGTTTTGTTTTGTTTTGTTTTTTCTTTTGTAATACACGTAATTTCTTTTTTTTTATTTTTTATTTATTTTTATTTTTATTTTTTTTAAATTTTTTGTTTATTGCAGTAACATTGGTTTATAACATTGTAAAAATTTCAGGTG